GTTTTCGAGGCAACAAAATATCCTACCGAGCCAGACAGCTATTTCCAGATTGAGGTGGTTGACATAGGAATCCCCTACAATTTTGAGTTGAGGAAACCATTAGACACTGATGAGGCTTGTGTTGTGTGTTCTCAATTCACTCACATTGACTCTAAGGAGAGTGAGGTATACATTGTTGACTTCCAAACGGACAATGAAGAGGAGTCATACTATTTGGAGAAGGACATGGTTGAATTTTGGAGGAAAGCTACAATATGGAAGAAAGATGAATTGACCAAGCTAAACAGGACCTCCAAAGCCATATTCAAAGTGCCATGAAACGTTTGTGCCAAAAGTTGAGCTATCGACTATAAACTTGCGCTGGGTGGGAGGCAACCCATTGTATCCTTTTATTTATTTTGCTTTTTGCCTTAGTTTAGGAATCTTTCAATTTTTGTTTGCATTGCAGCTGGCGTGCCTCTTCTTCCCTGGCGAGCACCGCACTGACTGCCTCGTCCGAAACTGCCAAATAAAGTAGGAGTGTCTCACATGGTTTAGATTTAGATAGTAGGGACGCCTCTCCCAAGTGTTTCTTCAGCGCTTGGAAGGCTGCCTCACATTCTTCAGTCCATTGGAACTTCTTTCCCTACTTCAAATTCTTGAAAAAGAGTAGGCTCTTATCAGTGGCTTTGAAGATGAAGTGACTGAGTGCAGCAATCCTCCCATTAAGGATTTGCACCTCTTTTGGCTTCTGGGATGACTTCATCTCTAACAAGGCTTTTATCTTCTCGAGTTTTGCCTCAATCTCTCTTTGGTTCACAATATATCCCAGAAATTGACCCCATGCTACCCCAAAGGTGGACTTCAGCGGTTTTAGCTTCATCTTATATTTCCTCAGAATTTGAAAAGTGGTGTCCAGGTGACTTACGTGATCTCCTGCATGGAGTCTTTTGACTAGCATGTCATCAATGTATACTTCCATGGTTTTGCCAATGAGGTTGACGAACATCATATTGACCAACCTTTAGTATGTGGCATCGGCATTTTTTATCTGAAGGGCATCACCTTGTAGCAGTACAATCCTCGGTCTATAATGAAATATGTGGCCTCTTCATCAGGTCGGAACATGGGTATTTGGTTATACCCTGAATAAGCATCCATGAAGCTCAAGAGTTCGTGTCCAGCGGTGGAGTCCACAAGTTGGTCTATCCTTGGGAGGAGGAAGCTGTCCTTTGGACAAGCTTTATTCAAGTTGGTAAAGTCAATGCACACCCTCTACTTCTCGCTGTACTTCTTCAAAGCACTAGGTTGGATATCCACTTCGGGTAAATGGCTTATATGATGAATCCGTTGCGACTTAGCATGTCGACTTCTTTCTTCAGCGTCTCATAACTTTTTGGGTTGAGTGCTCGCCTCTTCTGCCGATGCGGCGTGAAAGTGGGGTTGATATTCAAGTGGTGGCAACTGACCTTTGGGTCTATTCCCACCATGTCCTCATGTTTCCATGCTAAGATGTCCAAATTCCTTTTCAAGAAATTCATCAGTTCTTCTTTCGTCTTAGGAGACAAAGCTTTCCCTATTCGCAAGACCTGAGTGGGGTCTTGAGAGTTGATAAGGAAAGTTTCGAGTTCTTCCATAAGAGTTGCATTCGGCTTAGATTCAATGATCCGAAGGTCTAATTCACCAAGAGGGTGCCCTTCTTCAGGGGCCTCAATCATGTCGACGTCTTCCCCATGTTCGAGGGTCTGCCCTTGTTCAGGGGCGTCAAACTTCTCTACATCCGTGTTGACCTCATTTGCTGCATCGGTTGTTATCACATTCACAATGCAGGGCTCAGATTTTCGTAGGAAGTTGAGGTAACATGATCTCGAGCCCATCTGGTCGCCTCGGATCGTCACGATTCCATGCTTAGTTGGGTACTTCATACATAAGTGGTGAATGAAGGTCACAGCCCAAAGGTCCTCCAGTGCAGGTTGGTCGAGTACCTCATGGTAAGTTGACCTGTGATCTACCACTAAAAATTCCACGAAGTGGTGAGCCACTAGGAATGCTGATCCCATCTCAATAGGCAAAGTTATTCGGCCTCGTGGGATGATGCTATCCCTAGTGAATCTGAATATTGGGTCGGTCATGGGAACCAAACCATGCTCAATTTGCATCTTGTCAAAGGTTGATCCGAACAGTATATTCACCGAGCTTCCATTGTCAACCATCATGCACTTAAGTCTGTTCCGAGCCACAATGGCCCTTACTACCAATGCATCGCAGTGTGGGTGATGATCACCTTGCGAGTCTTCTTTGAAGAAGGTGATTGGATCCATTCTGTTAGTATGGGACTGGTTTACAATATAAGTGATCATCGGTGGGTATTTCGCTTCCCTTGTGTAGTTCATCTGGGCATTTCTGGTATTGCCCCCGATGTGGGGTCTCCCAATGATTGTACCAATTTTTCGGATAGTATCGCCTCCGGTGGCTGGGGCCTAATTTCTTTGCCTAGATTCTCCTCGAGATCTCTCTCTCGTCTCTCTCTTTCGAGGTGATTGATCTCGCTGTCGCCTCAACTCCCTGTTTGGAGAGGTGGACCTGCTAAAGTGTTCATGATAATGGTCCCTTTTGGAGGAGCGTGAGTTGCTTCAATTTGAGGCCCAAGGCACGTCTCTGCATTCACTGATGTCATGGCTATAGAGTTGGTGAAACGTGCAGAACTTTCCCCTTTTGAGGGGCCTGTTTGCCTACTTCTTCTTCTTGCGTCGGTTGTTTGTTCCCTTGGATGGTCCTGCTTCGGCAGAAGCATTTTCATATACCAGCACTGGCACTGCATTCAGAGTGGCTGAAGTAATGCTTGTCCGGATGTAGGGGCTACTGTGTGACCTGCATGGGTCCATTGCTGGGTGACAAGGTGTGCCGTTGGTAATTGACCCATCTGTCTCTAAGGCGGAGGAAGTCCCTGAACTGCACGGTTTCGATGGTCAATCATCTCCTCATTGACGATTTCCACCCTCATCATCTCAACCAATTCGTCATAAGTGCCTAGATTCTTGCTTCGGACGTCTCTCCAGAACAATGTGTTCATGTTGAGGCCTCATTTCAGGGCTAAGAGGGCCTCTCTATCCGTGACTTGTTCGCAGTATGTGATTTCATCAGTGAATCTGATGAGATAGCTTTTCAGCGTCTCGCCAGGAGCTTGCCTCATATCTTGTAAACGTTGCATTGGGGCCTTTATTTCCCTTCGTGAGAGGTATTGGTTTAAAAATACCTTCTTCAAATATGGCCAAGTTCTGATGCTTAAAGGTGGTAATCTGCTGTACCACACCTCAGCAGCTCTGGTAAGGGTCAGATGGAAGGCTCTGCATTTTAGTGCCGATAAGGCTCCTCTCTGCGTCGTGTACTTAGTGAGGTGTTTCTGTGGGTCCCCCTTTCCTTCATACTTAGGGATTTTAGGGGGCATGAAGTTCGCGGGCATTGGGAAGCTTCGAATTTCTCTGGAGAAAGGGAGGTTGTCATCATCATCAATTTCGTAAGAGCAACATGGCCCTTCAGAGCCCTCCCCCTCTGATGTATTTTGGGGAGGTGGAATGCCCCCCGACTACCCTAATCTACTAGGTTTCTCCTCTCCTGCCTATTTCTAGGCGAAGGGGGTGCCTTTTGCTCCTGCTCCTACTCCTACACATGTTGAGCTGACCTCTATATGGAGCGGACTCTATTGCTAGGATTTCGCCCTATTCAGTCGAAGATTCTAACCAACCACTGAGGTTCGTATTCTGGTGGGAAGTTTTCTCCCAGCTGTGGTTCTGTCATGTGAGTACCTCGGGTATAGGAAGTGACATCCACTCCCACTTCCATCTCAATGGGATGTTCCATGTGGTGGCTTGAACGACTCTGGGCATGAGATGCCGGGTTTTGCCCTTGAGCTGGGTGTAGTCCTTGTGGCATTGGAAAGCCATGTTGACTTTGGGCTTGCATGAAGAATTCACGCATCGCCAGATTCTGGGCTGCAATCTCTCTCATGCCTGCAGCTATTTGAGTTATCCCTTCAATGAGTGTCGTTGTCCTGTTGCCTCGGTAACGCCGGTGATGGGGTCTCCGATGCGTGACATTGGTCTAGAGCACTTCTTCTTCAGAGACGTCCCTATGCCCTTCAAGATTTGCTTCCTCATTGCTATAGCTCATTTTCCCACTCCTTTTCCAAGGGTGTTATGAACTTAAAACTGTAAGTTGACTTGGTCCTTTTTCAAGAACGTCCCCTTTTCGAGGTTCTAAAGTTGATAGTTTTTCGATGGCTTTTCCCAGCGGTAAACGGGGAATTCTTTGGTTGGAACTTACCCACAGACGACGCTAATCTGTTGACCTGGCGAGTTGGACTTCCACGTGGCCAATCGAGAGTCACTCCACGCGTTCCTCCCTGCACATAACAACACACAATCAGGAGTATACGGTCGGAACCAACGGGGGTGGTGGCGGCCGTATACACTCTGACGGTCAAGTCAGTGGTCGACGATCGGAACGGTGCAGGAATTGTACAAGAGAGTGGGGAGGAGAATATATAATACTTGAATGTGGAGAGCTAAGTTTAGTGTGAGTTTCATTACGTTTGCCTCTTACCAAACCTTGAGTATTTATAGACCAGGAGCACCGTTGGATGTGGAACACGTGTATGCATCTGACGACATGAGACGTCTGCTCGTAGGCGTCAATCAACCGCGTCTAGAGTGGGCGGGTTATTAATTCTCTTGAGTTGAGTTGACATAAAGTTGATGTCACATCACTTAGACCCATGGAGATGTCACATTCGTAGAATCTTGACATAGATATGCTTCTGAAATTGGCGACGGAGGCATCTGTTAAAGGAGCACCCCGATTACAAGGGGTGCTTCGGTTGCAGGGGCGTTTGGATCGCTTCAATAGATTTAGTTTGTGAAGTGTGTACCTTTTAATGCGTCGAGTTGGAGTTCGGCCAAAGTCAACACATAGGGACACGTGGCACCTCGAGGAGGAGAGGGACAGCATTTTGGAAGTAGTTCGGTGCAGGCGTAACAATTGACCTTTGCCCCTGTCGAAAAGGGCAAAAAGGAATAGTGACTTCATCTGGATCCCATTTGAGTGAAATCCAAGCATAGACAGACATATATCATCTCCTGTTTATGTATACAGCATCTTGGTATTTGGTTATGAAATGGCCGAAAACAGGATGATATCTGTTGAAGAAGCACTCGATACAGTGTTGAATGTCGCTCAAAGGCTGCCGCCTGTGACAGTATCCCTCCATGAGGCCTTAGGCAAAGTTTTGGCGCAAGATATTACTGCCCCCGATCCTCTTCCTCCTTATCCTGCCTCTGTCAAGGTCAGAAAATAGGGATACGTGTATATACAGAGTATATTTCGTGTGAAAAATGTGCGCATGCTCACTGGTTGAATGTTTCGTTAATGATGACATTTTCGCTTAAATGGGCTATTTAAATTTTTTGTGGGATATTTGATAAGCGAATTTATTCGTGGGTAATTGGGATTTTTAGGCTTCATGTTTGGTTTGGTTGAATTGGAAATTCTGACGAGTTAATGAAAATCGAATAATTAGTATTTCTCTATCATTTTTTCCTTTCATTTTGAAGTGAAAATCGTTCATTTCTTGATGTGGTTTTTGCTTCATTATAGCCTTGTGGACAATTATGTGTCTCTAGTGTGATAGCAGCCCGTTTATAAGGTCTTTGATTTCGATGGATTGACAGAATAAATTATGAGCAATTTACTGCAAAAGCTGTATTTTTTTTATTCTTTTTATTTTTTGGTTGAATAGTGTGAGATCCTAATTGAAGGTCAACCAAGTATGTATTATTTGCATCCCCTTCCCTCCCTTTTTTTTTTTGGTTGGGTTGGGGGGGGGGGGGGGTTAAGATGATGTAGGAACCATTTGTCTGAGCATAATACGCTTAAAGGAGCAACCTTTTATACAAAGTTTCTTTTTATGGAGATTTGATGTTCAATATTGAGGATCTTGATAGGCGATCCGTGAGTTAAAGGATTTGTGATAACTTGACCAGCTTGTTTTGCAACTTTTTCTAGATTACAAATGTTCTATTGACCGTGACCTAAACAAAGTTGGTATCAACTAGTTCATGATGAGTTCTATCTTGTACCACTTCAGGATGGGTACGCAGTACTTGCTTCAGATGGACCAGGTGAATATACTGTAATTACTGAATCAAGAGCAGGAAATGATGGAGTTGGCGTGACTGTGACCCCTGGAACTGTTGCTTATGTGACAACAGGAGGTGAATATATTTTTGTCAAATATCTATGTTCTTCATAAAGCCATTTCCTGTTTGTTCAGCCTAGTCCCTTTTTATTTTCAAGCAATTGAAAATGATCTCATAACATGGATGTTACACCAGTTTGACTCTTGGAAAGTTGGTCTCTGTTTTTTAAAATGTGATTTTGATCTTTCTAGACAACTTTTTTTGTTCCCTTCAGGACCAATACCTGATGGTGCTGATGCTGTTGTGCAAGTAGAGGACACCCAACTAATAGAAAGTGCATCAGTTGATTCAAAGCGAGTACGAATATTGAAACAGATTAAGCAGGGAGTTGATATACGTCCAGTGGTATGAATTTTTTACTTATTTGCTAAATCTGTTGTGTATCAACTTCACTTCACAGTTAAAAGATTTATTCTTATTACTTAATTCGGTGGAAAGTGATTACATAGAATTTATTGCTGTCATGGTCTTGTGTAATATCATGGTAGATATATACAATAGAGATTTGAGAACCAAAAAAAAAAAAAAAAACAATAATTTTGTTTGAGCAAACTCAATTATTTGAAAGAAATCAAATAAGTTGGTCTCCTGCAATCACGAACTTCAATATGCATTATCTTTAAGAAAAATGAACTCATAATTATCATTTATTTTATGTAGTCAAAACCTAATCATATGGGCTTAAAAACAGAGAAGATAGTGAATTCAGCGCCTTGTCAAAGACAAACTTTAACTAAATATATTTGTCATCTCTCTAATAGTTTAAGCTTTTGAATGAAGTGGTTCAACAGTGTACAACAATAGCAAAATATTTACCTTTGTTACCTAAAATTAATGGTCAGCTTCAAGAATATATTTTTCCACTCCGTTCAGTGCATTGCTAAATGTACTAGATGACTCAAAGCATAGCGATCAAAGTACGCCGTGTTAATTTTTTTGGCCCTCCATCTTTCTACTTGTTTTACTGATCTTGCATAATTCTTATGAAGAAGAGCCTCTTTAGGTCTAAGCAACACATGTCACTACCATTTAAGTTTGTCATTCTTTTAATTTATCATCAATCTAAGCCCCCTTCTGTTGGCTTATATTCTCATTTCTTATGTTATCAATTTTAGTATGACCACACATTCATCTTATCATCCCAGTTCTGGTAAGTTCATCTGCCATAAAGCATAGAGCATTCCCATTTCTGCTAATTTTCATCTTAAGGACATTTTTGTCATTTAACTCCAACACTCAATACCATAAAAGCATAGTCAGGTCTGATAACTGTTTTGTAGAACCGACTTATTAAATTTGTAAGGGATATATTGTCAGCCATCTATTGATATGCTTCCTCAATTTCAAATTGAAGGTCTTATTATTGTTACTCTTTTCAAAGTGGTGCCCACATTTCTGAAATGAAATTTTTTATACCTTTCGTGGAATACTAATTATACTGCTCCATTCACGGCACACTTATCTATTTTAAATACTTTACCTAGCATAAAAGAAACTTGTTATCCACCTTGGCTCCAATGTTTCTTTGAATTTCATATATTTTCAGTTCTCACCTGAATAATCATGTTGGCTGAAATTAAGACATCAAACTTGAGATGTATGGTGTAAGTGTTATGTTCAATTGAACACTGATATTTAGTAGAATCCTATTCGTTGTGATCTAGCATCTGTATATCACTATCACTATTAGTATTTTATAACACTCTTAGTAAAATCTTCTTGGCAGGGATGCGATATTGCTGAAGGTGATGTGGTTTTGAAATCAGGAGAACGTTTAGGACCTGCAGAGATTGGCCTACTTGCGACTGTGGGTGTACTGACAGTGAAGGTATTCTTCTTCAACAACTTTTTATCTGTGTACATATGTGACTTTTTCGCCTCCCTGTATCCCTGTTTGATCCTCGAACTCCCTCTGATTTATGCTGAAGCAATTTATTACTGTTTTATAATGGCAATAAATAGGTATATCCTACCCCAACAATTGCTGTGCTTTCGACGGGTGATGAACTTGTTGAGCCAACCAGTGAGATTTTAAATCGTGGTCAGGTACTGAAATTATTTTGGTAATTTTTTACCTCAGTGAGATTGCTTCCCTATGACTCAATACAAATTCCTGAGTTCATACCCACTGGTTTTATTGCTAAGCAAGACTGAAATACGACGAACAAGCATTTAGAATGTTAGCTGAGTAAGCACACAATCCTAAAATATTGGAAGTTGAAACTTTTAAGGTCTTCTGGAGCGTTGGTCAAATGCTGGGTTTAAGATATATTTACACTTGATATTTCTTTTTTGTGATTCCATTCTTCTCTGCTTTTGTTTTCTTTCAAGGCGTGGGTGAAAGTGTTTGAAATTGTGTCCTCAGGTACCTATAAGTTTGTGCTTTGAAACTTATGTCTTATACATTGAGGAAACAATTCAAGGGACGAACCCATGTCTAGTTACATGGATGCTCCTTTCTGGTTAAGTGGATACTTTCATTATTTCCTTTACTTGAAAAAAGCGGAAGAGTACACTTCCATAAGGTAAACATTTGTTGAGCCTTTACTTGAAGAGTACACTTCCATAAGGTAAACATTTGTTGAGCCTTTACTTGAAGAGTACACTTCCATAAGGTAAACATTTGTTGAGCCTTTACTTGAAGAGTACACTTCCATAAGGTAAACATTTGTTGAGCCTTTACTTGAAGAGTACACTTCCATAAGGTAAACATTTGCAATCTTCTGAGCTTCCTGGTCGACCTCCACTGGTGCACTCTGGTGAAGAGTTGGGCCGGAGGTGACCTAACAAGATTTCTCTACCATCTTCCAATTTGAGTTCATGTGTAACTATTATTATTTGCTTCAGAAAATTATGCAACAGGAGAAATACAATTAAATTATCCTTTTCCGCATGATCTTCCATTCAGGTTTGTATGAAGCCAGGAAAACCTCTTACATTTGCTGAGATACTTCCTGGGTCTACTGAAAACAAGAAAGCCAATAAAATCCTTGCGTTTGGATTACCTGGGAACCCTGTGAGCTGTTTGGTCTGTTTCCATCTCTTTGTGGTCCCTGCCATTCGACATCTTTCTGGATGGACCAATCCTCACCTTCCAAGGTTGCTGAAAGTTATGGTTTCTTTTTCTTTCTGTCACTGTATCCCAATTTGTTCACCTTTTACACTCTTCAGTCTTCACGTATGTTTCATTCATGAGTTCATACTCCTATCAAGAAACATTGTTGTCTAATTTTCAAATGTGTTTTGGTAGAGTGCATGCTCGTCTTAAGCGGTCGATAAAGACTGATCCAATTCGTCCGGAATTTCATCGGGCCTTTGTCAAGTGGGAGGTCAATAATAGATTAGGAAACTCAGGGTAAGAATTAACCCCGTAATGCTAATTTTCTTCATGTAGATTGAGGATCATTGATTACTGGTTTTGAGTACTACAAATTATGCCATCTCAATTATTGTCCGAGTTTGTTCTGCGTTTATCACACTTGATGATGACATAAACATGACCATATTCTCTTTACTTATGACTTCTAGATTTGTCGCTGAGAGTACTGGCCACCAAATGAGTAGTCGACTTCTAAGTATGAAGTCAGCAAATGCTTTCTTGGAACTTCCTGCATCAGGCAACCTAATTCCGGCTGGAAGTTTTGTGGTAGCATCGATCATTTCCGACTTAAGTGATTTTGCTGGACATGGGATACCGACATCAACCCAGTCAGTTAACGTGGAACAGGGATGCATGCCTCAAGAAATAAATATTGAGTCACAAGGTTCTGAATTTAGAGTGGCTATCCTCACAGTAAGTGACACTGTTGCATTGGGCTCAGGGCCTGATAGAAGGTATCTCTTACCATCATCTTATACCTTATGGTACCTTTGCTTGCTCGGAGTTGATCCTGTCTTGGATCTGTGCGGGCTATATTTCACTAATTTTGTACTTTATTGTCTGATATTCATCCTCTTTCTTATATGTCTCGTCTGTGTAGCTTTCGCGATGCCTTGCATACCCAGCTTACTGTATTTATGTCCAATCCTACATGTTAGAAGTGAGTTGTGTAGGGATGATGAGTGTAAAGGGATATGCTAGAAGATGGGGGACTATTGAACTGAGGATGGGGAATCTGATCTAGGGGTTAGAAATAAGGTGTAACATTTTAGCATATGAGAGTTGCATCAGGATACACCTTTTTGGATCATCATTCCCGAAAGGTCACTTCTATGATGCTAGAACAAAAGTGCAAACGGATATTACTTTATGTCAAAGTGGAACATGGAAGTACTGACTAACTCGTGCGACATAAATCAGCAAATTGCTACCTACATTTGTATGGATTTTGGCATTAAGAAATACAAATTTTAATTTCGCTGGTGAATGCAAATTTTGTAAGTTTTGAATTGGATTAATCGATTTTGATGTATTACTAGGAAATAGGAGTCAATTTTTAAAACCATTTACATGTATCAAAATTCTTATTAATGCTGTTACGCACTATTTTTTTAGTAGGTGATAGAACTAATCTGTGTTCTGTCTTTTCATCACTTAAAGTTTCCTGTTCACGGAAATGTCTTCCTATGTCATATTAATTCATTTACCTCTTGGAATTATGACTCATTCAACTTCTAGTTTGATAGAGTCAAATGAATTTAAGCAAATTAAATATGCAGTCAAATTATCTCTAACATGTTGATTTTCCTTAAATAGTCAATTGCGTAAAAAAAATAAATAAATAAATAAAATAATAATAATAATAAATAAATTTCTCTCATATATTGCTTCTCTTTGGTGATCTGATATGATGTGTAATTCTGTAGTGGTCCACGGGCAGTTTCTGTTGTGAATTCATCATCACAAAAACTAGGAGGGGCAAGTGTGGTTGCTACAGCTGTTGTTCCAGACGAGGCGCTGAAAATCAAGGAATACTTAAAGAGGTGGAGTGATGTTGACAAAATGGATCTCATTCTTACCGTTGGTAAGTTACTAAATTCTATAATTTATCCTTTTTGTTGAAGTATGCAGGGAAACTGTTTACTCATTATGTTTCAAACTTTCATCATCTTTTGTTCCCCAAATTACTTCTCTTGGGATCAAGATATTATGCATGTTTGTGTAAGCTTAAAAAAATTTCTTATGAGTTTGTTTACAAGTAAATAAATAGGTTTTGAAATATATTTTCTTTGTTGGTTAAAATTAAAAATAAGTTACTTGTTTTGAATGTAACTCTTACCTTACCATCAAAATAAATAGTTTTTTACTTATAAGAAAAAAATTAGCATATCCAAACACGTTTGGGAGCAAAAAGTTACTTAAAAGTAAAGTAACTCAAACTTTTAAGAGTAGCTCTTAAGTAACTTTCTAACATATAAGAAAAAAATAGCATATCCAAAAATGTTTGGGAGCAAAAAGTTACTTAAAAAAAGTACAAGTAACCTCAAGTTTAGCCAAACATACTCTTCCATGCTTGAGTTTAGGGCTTGGGCCTTGGGGGCACCTAGAATATATATTTGTATTCGACTTTTTGTTCATCAGTAAAGAATCAAATCAATTAGGTGGCACTGGCTTTACCCCAAGGGATGTCACCCCAGAAGCTACAAAGGAGTTGATACATAAGGAAACACCTGGTCTTCTGCATGTTATGATGCAAGAGAGCTTGAAGGTACTAGAGTTTACCCTGTGGTTTCTGTAAATTGATTTATTCTGTTTTGTTTAACATTAAAATTTATATTTCGACGTGTTTCTTGGTGATTGAATGCCTTTGTTGCGATTTACACTTTTATTTTCTTGGGTGAAACCTAAAACTTGAGTAGTGCCATTGGGTTTTCTTTGCTTTTTCCTTTTTTCCCTTTATGGAGTGGGCTAGGCCTGTTTGGATGTCAAGAACTATAGGTCTTGAGAGTTTTATTAGTTCAATAAGCATGGGTTTTTGCCATGTAAAGAAATAGATTCTTTTTATGTTCGGACCCGACTGTTGTCTCCTTTGGAAGAAAAGATTTGTTGAGACAAAACCTTAATTAGATGAATTTATGAAATTTTGCATTTGTATGAGTTTAGACTGGCAGAAACAAGATAATGAACACGGGGAACTCTTGTAAACTTGAGGAGTAATCACGGAACTAACTTTCAAAGATCTAATTAGATACAAATTCATTTTTTTCTTGCCTTTTAGGTCTACGTAGACTTCTACTTTATAGTTCAACGTTTTCGGTGTTGCCATGCAGAAAGGGTTATATGATATATCTCAAACTTGGCACTTTTAAGGTACTAATTATTGTGAGTACCCATAACAGGTAACACAATTTGCAATGCTCTCCCGCTCTGCAGCTGGAATAAGAGGATCGACATTGGTAAGATGTTATGGCCCAGTTTGATCCACACTATTTGGAAAAAATACGTTCTTAAACAGTAATTTGACGTCATTTTAACCACACATTCTTCAATAAAATAATATTACACGCAAATCCAAAGCTTTTCCTTATTTTTTAACCACACATTTCCCATCAATATATCATTCAAAAATGCATTTTTTAGAAAATAATGTGGCTCAAACAAGGGCTATTTGTAGATCCCTTTTATTGTACTGCATAAAATATAGCTCCAGAGATGTACCATGATCCCAGTTACATTTCCCTAGCTCAATTTGTAATGAATATTGGAAAATTTGTGGAATAAATATAAGTTAGATACAAAGATGACCCTTTCTTTACGCATCCACATACATAGCCAGACATGAAGAGGGTTAAATACATTGGCCGCTAAACTTTTTCCAATGGAATTTTAAGTTGGTCTCTGAACTTAATAACTTTGTTACAATTGCGTCACTCCATCCTTATTTTGTTCGACTAATACAAAAGGTGTTTTGGTAGTCTAGTTGTTTGCCTACTAGACTGCAATATCAATGTTTCTATTAGTCAAACTAATGGATATAGACGGAATTACTAAATTGTAATAAACATTTAAGTTTAGTGACCTGATTGTGACGGTTTGAGTTCATAGCTTGGAACCAATGAAGTTAAGTGACATCTTGAAATTTTGCTAGAAATTCTGTGAACGCTAGTAGTTTTAACTTCACACAAAGTTCTACAGCCGGCCATGTTTGACCTTATCCACTGTAGATTGCCTTAATTGTTCTTCAAAGGATTTTTCTCTTTCTTTCTTTCTTAATGTTTTGAAGATGTGGTATACATGTTTCTGATTGCACTACTTGTTCAGATAATTAACATGCCGGGGAATCCCAATGCTGTGGCGGAATGCATGGAGGCTTTGCTGCCTGCTCTTAAGCATGCATTGAAGCAAATCCGGGGGGACAAGAGAGAAAAACATCCTCGTCATGTTCCTCACGTAGATGCTGCTCCGGTTGATACCTGGGAACACAGTTACAAGGCGGCTTCTGGTGATGGCCAAGAACATGGTTGTTCTTGTTCACATTAATGGCAGCTTGGTATATCAGGGTCATGTAGTGTCAAGAAGTATTTTACTGTGGATATTGGTATTGACCAAATTTTCCATGTATTTACATTTTATTTTCTGTAGCTCGGGTTCTTTAGAACTTTGAATAGAATTTGCTAGAATGACAAACAAGGCATGCCGAGTATAAATTTATCTAAGGTGTGTTGTATATTTTGCTGTTATTGTTCATAAGGCTGATTTGCAGGGTATAATAAAAGGGGCTATAAAGCTTGACAATTCGAGTGGCTTCAATTCAACTAGTTAAATTGCTCATTGAAGACATAGAATAGAGAATAAAATAATTGCTTTAATAACAAGGTAAAGATGACTTTTAAAATAGAGGAAATTAAGGGTGAACTCCTTAACATTTTACATGGTGTCACTATATCGGTGTGGCTAGGGATCTTCATTTTATTTAAATCTACGAGTTTTTGAATATTACGCAATCAAAATTGTCAAAGTGGATGGTATTATCAAATGCGACTATCACATGACTTGAAGTTTAAGCGTGAAATTTTCAAATAATTTAAAATTTTCTTCAATATAATTGAGCGTTGCACACGATTTTAACGTCTATATTTACGATTTTGATCAAATGGAAACCCAAATTCTCGTGTTTGAATAGGTTAAAGGCCACAAGTTCACTTTTGAAGGTGAGAATTATAACAACAGTACACAAAAGTTTAGGGATCCTAATTTTGCCTTTGAAATAAGTCACTATATATTTATAAGTTCATAAAATAAAATAAAAAATAATAAAAAAATAAAAAAAAAACCTATTTATTTCACAAATTACTTATTAACTTATAAGAAATTTATGAGTGCCAAACATGCACCTTATCATTGACCACCACAGCAATACGAATCCATAAAACCGAAGAAAGAGAAAATGACCATATAATTCACAGTTCACTGCTTTCCCACCGGAATCATTTTTCGTTCGAAGCATAAGGTCAGAATTACTTAAATTAGTTGTGTTCTCAACGAATTTTCCTTTTTTATAATTCCAAACCTATCTATTCTTCATTTGACTTCTTTATCACTATTGAAAGTTAAGCGATTTTGCCTCATTTGAATCTGCACATGTAGCAAAAATATTAGTATTTTTTTTCCCGAATTCGCCGGTCATATGATAAAGGGATATTGTTTTTTAGGGTTTGTACTTATCTTTCAGTGAATGGAATAATGGGGCTTTGAAGTAGGAGTTTAATGATGTTAAAAAGATTGAATTTTAGAATTCAATTCTGGAAGGCATAAAAGCTAGGGTTTGGGTTGCATTTCATAGAACAATAATTCTTCAATAACTTTGCACTGGAACATGAAAAAGGAAAATTTGTTCCTAGAAAATGCTTTTCAAGAAATGAGTATAGTTTTAACCTGTATTCTTCTTGGGGAAAACTTGAATGCAGGGAAAGCGAAGAGTGAACAGGTTGAGTTGAAATAATATCAAAGCATATTTTTTACAGTCTATTTGATGCATTTAATTTGAGTCAAAGTCAAATCATAAGTTTTTTTTTTTTTTAAATAAAGTTCCTTATAAATATAAATAGCATACTGTTGTCACTGCTCTAGTAATCTAGCAATAAAATAAGCGAAGAGTGAACAGGTTCTTTTCATCTAGCTTTCAACTTAGTGAGCTTGTTTATTAATTTTTTTTTTTTTTTCTTTTTTTGATTCTCATACAAGTAATGTTTCCAGCTTTGATCCAATTAAAAATTACTTATTTTAAAGCTTACTTGAGCTTAGCATAACATGCTGAAATCACTACAAGAAAATTTTTAATCTGGCCACTTCATGAAATTAAGAACAAAGCTAAATAGTTTACGGAAGTGTTACATGTACATAATAATCTACATAATGATGTCCATAATTATACGTGACACTAGATCCAACCTTTAATTCAAATTTCGCACTTTTATATCAACAATCGGATGATTGCCACATCACATTATGTACACCATTATGTGTAATAATTATGTACAAGTAGAATTTTCCAATAGTTTAACATCTCTTTTGTTTTATTGTCTACATTTACACCGTTTGTCATTGAACTTGGGACTTTTTTGTAGTTTTATGCTAGAAGATGGTTGGTTGACTTGCATCCGAGTTATTAGATTAGCACTCTGATATCTCCTTATCTTTTAACGAATTTTGCAAAGATAATTTCAGGATGCTTTGCTGTTAAAAAGAATCAATGGTCAATATGGCTGATGAGAGAGATCTAATTGAAATATTGGAAGAGAATAATCCTATTGACATCATCAAATACATCAGTTATGTTCATTCACCACAATGCAGTGCCATAGCAACTTTTTCCGGCACAACTCGTGACACCGTTGAAGGCAAAACAGTCTTAGAGCTAAGATATGAAGCATACGTTCCAATGGCAGTACGCTGCATAAATCCATTTGTACTTCTGCAAGATCATCGT